TCAGATAAACAACTCACGGTTACCTGGAAAATACATGCTGTAACTGCACATCTAGAAACAGTTGATGATTTGAGTGGCCTTTCCCTTGGACAGTTTAACGAGCAGACATCTGAATCTTGCCGTTCCAAGATGAAAAGTGTAATAAACAGATTTGGAGTTTCAAAGTACAGTGACAAACATAAAGGAAGAAGCAAAATAATTGCTGAAGTGTTCAGTTCAAATAATTTATAAGTTATTTAATATACATCAATTGTACATCAAAACACAAACATTATTAAAATAAGTAATTACATTTAAATTTAAGGTGTAGTTACTTAATCATAAATAGTACATACAAATATTAGTTATAAATATTAAATCATAAACAAAAAAGACTGTATGCATTTAAAACATTACTTTCATAATTATTATGTCATTATTCAATAATAAAAAAAAAGCTAAAGTGTTTATTCATTATTATGTTTTTGTGTGCGTCTTTAAAGTAAAAAAGTTTGTTGTTGAAGATTTTCTTTTAATTTTTTGCAGATAATTATTTCTAAATAAACTCGATAAGTTTAATTAACCAGTATAAAAATTTTATTAAAAACCAAACGAAAAAAAAACCTTTAAGAAAAAACAGCAACAATGAACTAGTGATTTAATAGTTTTTAAAAAGCTATTTGAGTTTTTAGTTATATTTTTAATTAAAAATTTTTAAAAATCAAAAATAAAATTTTAAACTGCGCAAACTAATTATTCTAAAAAAGTTTTTAGAATAATTAGTTTTTAAATTCGGTATAAAAAAAGTTTTTAATACCGAAAATTTTTACATTTACGTTTTAATAAGTAAAATAATTAAAGTTGAAATAATAGATATAATATAAAGTTAAAATAATAGATATAATATATTTAAAATATAAGTATAATAGATACACCCATATATTATGGTCACTGCTCAAAGGAGTTATTATCTCTAGTTCCATCAACTAAAATTCATTCTCGTTTTACTCGTCATTCAGCTAAGTCTCATTCGTTTTCTGTATCTGTCCCTGCATGCTCTAAAAACTTTTATTCATCTAGTTTTTTTCCCCGCACTTCAATCCTTTGGAACTCTCTCCCATCTTCATGTTTTCCTGACTCATACAACCTTCAACTTTTTAAGTCTTCTGTCAACCGTTTCCTTGCTCTATAACTCTGTTCTTTTTTTTTCCTAGTAACTCCCAACTTAATAGTGGTTGCTTGCAGCCTTGTTGGGAGTGAATGCAAATAAAAAAAAAAAAAAAAATATTTGATAGCTTAAATAAAATCTTATTTTATAAACAATTAAAAAAATTATTAACTACGTAATGCAAAATCAATTTTAAAAGTATCAACTCATTTATTCAAGTAATAATTAACAATTTCATATTATTATTCACTCTCTTTTAAACTTAAAATTTTTCTTTTAATTTTTCTTTTAATTTGAAAGAATTGAAGAATCTTTCAAAAGAAATTTTTCTTTTAATTTGAAAGAATTGAAGAATCTTTCAAAAGAAATTTTTCTTTTAATTTGAAAGAATTGAAGAATCTTTCAAAAGAAATTTTTCTTTTAATTTGAAAGAATTGAAGAATCTTTCAAAAGAAATTTTAAGGAAGAAGAGTAACAAACTTTTTATATATATAATAATCATTCGTTTATAAAATATTTATAAAATAATCAATCGTTTTAATAAAGAAGCGTTCTAAATATATCCTAAAAAAGAGTTCAAAAAATTTAGTCAAATGCAGCGTTTTTTTTTTTTTTATATTAATTTTTCTCAAAAATGTTATAATGCTTGAATGAATAAACAGGGTTGCTAAAAATATTTTTTTTTAAAAAAAAAAGCAAAAACCATGGATTTTTTTGGTTTAAACTTTTTTTAAAAAAAACAATGCTTAGTCACCTTTTTTAATTAAAAAAAAAAAACAGTCATTTTACTTGAGTGAATTATATTTTCTATTAACATTACTGCTGTAATTCATCAACCAATACATCATTTTTTAATTTTCTGTATATAAAAACAAACTTTGCCGCTTTTTCTTCTCCCATCTTGTTTCATAACTTGGAATAAACAAACCCAAAAGTCAGAAAAATTCTTTCAATTCCAGTACTAGAGGCTGGTACATTTATTAAACCTTTAATATTCATGATATGGTTTGAATTCAAAAATTTTACAGATTTCCACCATTCTATTGGTGATACATTTTTTAAAACAGGTTCACTATACAAATAACTTTTATCAAATGAGGTAGATTTGATTTTCAACTTGAATATTATTGGTAATAAGTTCTTAAATTCTTTATCTGCAAAGGTCATTGTAGCTTCATTTTCAGAAAGATACATAGTATCTTCAATCTAGAGTGTTTGTAAAGAAATGAGCATCACTGACAGTCTGAAGATATCTAGTTTCATATACATATATATATATATATATATATATATATATATATATATATATATATATATATATATATATATATATATATATACATATATATATATATATATATATATTTCAGTTAATCAAAATGGTAACATGTTTATCAGCTCTTTAAAAATTTTAACAGTGTCACTTATTTTTGTTTGATCTCTTTGCAACTTATCTAAACCAAACTAACTTTTTGTTGAAAATATTAAAATAATTGGTTTTAATATATGAAATACAAATGTATATAAATTAGTTTGGTTTAAATTAATAATTTTTTGATTGGGTTAAACCATTTAGTTCAAACCTATCAACCCTCTGAGCAAATATCAAAAAAACAACCGTTGCTGACAGTTTTTTTCTCTGACAGACAACCGTTGCTGACAGTTTTTTCTCTGATGTATATATGATATGATAAGGAAACTATTATTGAAATAATCATTTTATTTTCCCCATGAGCTTTTTTTTATCTAAATATCAAACATTTAAAAGGTAAATTGTAATACAAAATGTGATTTTTAATGTGACTTTATGTTGTTTTTAACCATGAAAAGGTCACCATCCGCTCATTGAACTGTGTTATTAACTGAGCAATTTGCCCGCTTTAGCAAACTCATCTGTAATATTTGAGCATCATTTCAAAATACATTTATTCATTGATATTGCAAAAAAAAACATTAGTTTAGTATTTTATCACTTCATAATTTACAATGCCATATAAGCGCTTCTTTCAATAAAAACTGAGTCTGGATTTTATACTTTATTTTATACTTTATATTACATCGTTTTGGTGTTTAATGATTTCAAATTTTGAGGTAACATTTAGCAATACTTTTAAACATTAATATACTAACATAATATATATATATAAAAATAATACACTAACATAATATATATATATATATATATATATATATATATATATATATATATATATATATATATATATATGTATATATATATATATATATATATATATATATATATATATATATATATATATATATATATATATATATATATATATATATATATATATATATATATATATATATAGTCTTGCATGTCTCTTGCGTAGCATCAAAAAATATTTCCCATAAACTGTAGTTTTAAAGAGCGCGTTAATAAACCAGACTAGAAAAAGTTTTAAAAATTAAATTTTTTTTTTAATTGATAGACTGCCTGGCCAAACCAAACCCTCAGTCGATGTAGCAGCACTCTCTTGCGAGTCAGGCTATTTGTCAGTCGTTGTAGCAGCACTCCCTTGCGAGTCAGGCTATTTGTCAGTCGATGTAGCAGCATTCCCTTGCGAGTCAGGCTATTTGTCAGTCGATGTAGCAGCACTCCGTTGCGAGTCAGGCTATTTGTCAGTCGATGTAGCAGCATTCCGTTGCGAGTCAGGCTATTTGTCAGTCGATGTAGCAGCACTCTGTTGCGAGTCAGGCTATAAGATAGTCGATGTAGCAACATTTACGCATGTTTAAAAAATGTTTTTTATTAAATCAATAACAAAAACACCACTTATTAAAAAAAACTTTCTAGTCGTTATAATTGCGGTTTTTTAAAAATTTTTTAAAAAACAATTAAATTTAATGTACTTCCGCATAAATTAATTGCTTTGACATTTCGATGACAATCAAAAACAGCTTAAGAGACGAGGTAATTAAAATTGTAGTCGTAAGAGACTTTTTTTACTTTAAAATGCTCTTAAAGCGACACTATATGAGTATATATATATATATATATATATATATATAGTCTCTAAATAAGAAAAAATAAGGTTGGCAGAATATTGCAGACCTAAAAGCATTTTAGGTCAGCATCAAAATTTAGAAACAGGGTTCGAAAAATCAACAAACCTGCATACATTTAGCATAAAATTGGTAGAAAAACCAATGTCCAGTTAGCCGACTTTTCTTTTAAATGTCAATGTTTGCTGAAAAATTTGAAAAACAAACACAGCATTTTACCATTTTATTAGAATTTGAATTATAAGATTAAATATATAGATTGAGTATAGGAGTTAAAACATTAGGTATAAAAGTTTTATTTTAGTTTTTTTATTAATAATTAATAAAGTATTTGGTTTATCTTTTTTCTTATAAATAAAATATTTGTTTTTCTAGTTTTTATTTGCCGTTTTTATTTTAATTATTCAATTATTTCAAATTTAAATTAAATGTTTGCTTTTTTCATTCTTGTTTTAACTATTTTATATAAATTCTAAATAAAAGTTTTTTGTTGCTATTTTTATTATTTTATTCAAAATTTGAAGAAAATATTTTTTTTGTTTTTATTTTAACAACATTTAGAATTTAAATACAACATTTGTTTTTTATTTTTATTTTAATTATTTAATATAAAATATAAAGCATTTGTTTTGCCATTTTAAATTTATTTAAGATTAGAAAAGCAAATTAAATTATATATATATTTAAGTTAAGTATATATATATATATATATATATATATATATATATATATATATATATATATATATATATATATATATATATATATATATACACACACGCGCGCGCACACATTCATATTTGTATATATTTATAAATTTTTTTAGGATTTTTGTGTTGGTGCATTTTGGGCCTTGTTTTGGTTTTTTAGTTCATGTGCTTTTGCAGCAGCCACAAATGGTATCAAAAAAGTTGCAGATATAGAGAAGAGTGTTCATATGCTTGATGCATGTATTAATGGTAACAAATGCACTTTTATTGGAGCTAAATATGCAGCTTTAACGATTGCTATTGTAAGTAAATAATGTCAATTTGAGATGTTTTATTTAAAGATTACTGCTTTTGGTTTAAAAATTGTAATAGTTAAAAGATGCTTAAAATTATGGATATAAAATGAATTATAAGTTATAGATTAGCAATCTTGTTATTAGGTAATAAGGCAAGCAGTTTTACTCTTTAGTATCAGCTTGTTTTTTCTTTTTCCTCTCTATGATAAAAAAAAATTAACAACAGTTTTGCAAGTAACATTTAAAAGATTAGTTGAAAGAATAAAATTTACACTTACAAAAATACTAATCATTACAGTGTAAACTAAAATCTAAAAAAAAAAAGGAAAAAGACTAAGTACAAGTATAAAAATAGAATCAAGTATAAAGAATTACAAAAATAAAGAGGAATTGATAAAATTGTTTATAAATTTATCATTTATGAGAGTTTCTCAAACCATTAGAAAGCTCTCAGAGAGTCTAATTACATCAACAGCTATAAAATATCAGATTATTATTAGCACTTTGTTGTGCATGTTTGATGTGCAATGTTGAGACCAAATAAAATTTTTTTCTAGGACTTTGAGTTAGTAGGAATGAGGCCACTGCGTAGCTTATTGCTTAAGATGACATACACCATCTAATTGAATGTTACCTTTTGCTGAATTATTCAGGCTCTTTGTGAGACTAATGTTAATTTGACTGTTTCATCTTCAAATCTTAATATCAAAAAAAATCTTAATAGGTATTAGCCTTTGATTGGTAAAGACTCCGATGTTGCAAAAGTTAGATTCTAGAGACCTAAATAATGTATTAACACAGGTAAGCCTTATATTCCATTTATCATACAGGTTTAATCCTACTGATTTGGGAGACAGTTCTTAGAAACTCAAAGAAAAAAAAATCAATGGTTAAAAGTTATTTGTAACATTGATTTTTTTTATTGCACTTGAATGGTTAAAATATCAAAACAGCTGTCGTCAAATTGTAAAGAAAAAAAAATGTTGCCAGTCACAACGTGAAATTTTAAGGCTATCTAAAAAAGAATACAATATTAAATTGAAACTATATTATTAAAAAATAAAAATCTGTGATGATATACTCTAAATGATAAGGAAAGAAAGGACTTCACTAGACTAACATTAAATAAACTTAATAACATAACAAAGATTTCTATAGCAACTCAGTAAGGGTCGCCAATAGCTGTCACGCCGCCTGGGACAGCAATCCGGATTGGCGTCCTTATTTATCAAATTTTCCCTTTATAATATATAAGGACCTTTGGATTTACTGATCAGACACTTTCTGATCTAAACAAGTTTTGATCGGACATTTTGTCCGGGACTTTTTAAAAAATTAAATTGAGCCCTGTGTGTGTGTGTGTCTATATATATATATATATATATATATATATATATATATATATATATATATATATATATATATATATATATATATATATATATATATATATTATTTGCATTCACTCCCAACAAGGCTGCAAGCAACCACTAGCAACCACTATTGGACCTTGTCAAGAAGAGAAAGTGATTCATTAGAAGAACCAGCCCAAATATGACAACAGTATTCCATACAGGGACGAATAAGATATTTGTAGAGGTAGAGAATGGAATCAGAAGTAAGGAAATGGCGAGCAAGATAAAGAGAAGCAACCTTAGCAGAAGCTAATTAAGCAATCGATTGTATATATGGTTTCCATGAAAGGTCAGTAGTAAGCGATAATCCAAGAAGAGGTAAAGAGGAGGACTCAGTAAGAAGATTGCCATTCATTAATATAGGAATGTTGACCATATTACGGTAGTTGTTTGCAGTAAACAACTGGGTTTTGTTAGAGTTGAAATTCACAAGCCACTGTGAACCCCAATCTATTACTGAAGTGAGATCAGATTCAAAATCAGCTGCTTGTTCTAGGCGATCGAAAAGAGAAGACTTTTTGTCAAGACAGGAGTATAAAGTTGAGTCATCAGCAAAAAGAGCTACTTTAGATAAAAGGTTGTCAGGAAGATCAATTATGTAGATAAGAAACAAAACGGGGCCCAGGATGGAACCTTGGGGAACCCTAGAAGTTACTAGAAATAAAGAAGAGTGTTGGCCTTCAAGGATGACTTTAATAAACCGGTTAAAAAGAAATGATTTGATAATCTCAAAAACTTTCCCAGAAACACCATATGAAGCAAGCTTATGGAGAAGACCAGCATGCCAAACTTTGTCGAAAGCTTTAGATATGTCGAGAGCAATAGCCCTAGCCTCACCGCCTCCATCTAATGCACGATAAAATCTTTCAGTTACAGCAGTTAGCAAGTCGGCCGTAGAGCGAGAGGATCGAAAACCGTATTGATTGTCTGACAGTAGTTTATTTGACTCAAGATGAGATGTGAGTAATTTGTTGATCAAAGACTCAAAGACCTTGCTAATAACAGAAAGAAGACTGATCGGATGATAATTGGAGGGGTCAGAATTTTCTCCAGAGTTTTTGAATATTGGAACCACAGATGCCATTTTCCAACAAGCAGGAAAACAAGACTCAGTCAAACACTTGTTAAATAGTTTAGAGAGAATTAAAGAAAGTTCTGGAGAACAATTCTGCAAGACTGTGACAGAAATGTTGTCTGGACCACAAGCTGTAGACAAGTTTAATTGAGATATGACTTCAGCAACAGAAGCCGGAGTGATTTGAATGTCTAACAATGGGTCAACCTGTTTGACTGGAATGGAAGGAAGAGAATGTCCATAAGATTCAAGAGTGGAATTAGAAAAAAAGTTCTTTGCAAATAGTTCTGCCTTATCCTTGGGAGAGGTAATAAGATCAGTCCCATGAATGAGAGATAAAATGTTATATCTAACCTTGTTAATAATGCTGTTGAAGATTTTCAAAAAGTCTTTAGAGCCTAACTTCTGTGATAAGATGCGAGATTTAGTGAACTAAGAATAATGGAGTTTAGCATCAGAAAGCACCTTTTTACATCGATTTCTTGCAATATATATATATATATATATATATATATATATATATATATATATATATATATATATATATATATATATATATATGTATATATATATATATATGTATATATATATATATATGTATGTATATATATATATATATATATATATATATATATATATATATATATATATATATATATATATATATATATATATATATATATATATATATATATATTGCATTATTAAACCGGCTAATATTGAACCGTATCCAGCATAAAACATATTATCTGATTCATTTACAATATATATATATATATATATATATATATATATATATATATATATATATATATATATATATATATATATATATATATATATATATATATATATATATATATATATATATATATATATATTAGGGTGTCCTTTATATTAGTGCAATATTTTTTTTTTTTTTTTAATTGCATACACACTATTTTTTTTTAAACTATCTAGCCTTACTTAAATCCAAACCTTTATCCTCTTATGACAACACTAGCGCATGCCGACAGATCTCTGAATATTTTGAAATTTGCTGTTTTTAACCCTTCCTGTTATGTAGCTTAATCAATTGAAGCATTTATATTTTATAAAATATTTATTAATAGATTATAAAATTACAGATAATGCAGGATATTTTATTTTAATGACCAAATAACGTAACAAAATCTGGATATGAGACGCAATTAAAATATGTCTCAAATAAAGATTTTTTTAACGTTACATTATGTAACAGTTTACACTTTTTAAGTTAAAAAAATACCCTTTTTTTTTTTTTTTAACAAATTTAAAAAAAAAAAATTTGAAGTAACCAATATAATAGGCTTAAGTACAAAGTTTTATCTTCCTACGACAAAATTAACACATGCCGACAGAACTCTGAAGATTTTGAAAATTGCTGTTTTTAACACTTCTCGTTATGTAGCTAAATCAATTGAAACACTTATATTTTATAAAATATTTAAAATATTAAATATTATTAAATATTAATTTATAAAATATTAAAATAATATAAAATTATAGATCAAGCAGGATATTTTTCTTTAAGGGTCTCTTTTTGACAATCTAGATACAGATTTCTTGGCTTTTGCAAACTGCACACACAAACGTTGCTTTTGTTTTTCATTTGCAGTGATCAAACAATAAAAACTTTTACTGCTTTTTTAGCTGTATCATTAACTACACTTAAGAAAAAATTTCTTTTTGCCTCTATATAGACAACATCTTCATTCCACATTGAAACGAGTGTCTGGAGGAAGTTCTTATTAACTTAATATAAAATACAAATTTGAAGTAAATTAGCAGTAAGTAACCCGTAATTTGGGTTATTAGTAATTAAATCATTAATAACAATAATAACACATTAATAACTTGATATAATATCTAAAAAAAACTAAATTAAATACAAATTTTTCTATAAATGATATTTTAAGTTTGACTTTCTATTTGCAAGACTTTACTTGAAAAAAAAAGAATTAAAAAAAAAATACAATTTTCAATTACAAAAGTATTATTTGCATTTTATTGTTAGTAGAATTAGGATAATATAGCAGAAAATATAGAGAATAAAAAAATAGCTATAACAGCCTAGTTCTATCAACACAAAACACAGTAACAATAGTGCATAACATAAGATATTTGTAAGCACACAATATTATGTCTCCAGAATAATTAAAAAAGAAAATATTATAAAAAAAGCTAGATAACACAACAAAATAACATTTTTATTAGCTAAAATACTTGAGCTAAAGAGATTTTATGTAGTACAAAATTGAAACAATCAAGGGACAATTATAGTTAAACATTTTGAACAATTATATCATAAAATAGAAAGCAACTCGTAAAATATTTCTTATACATGGTCGTTATAAATTGTAGTATTAAGAAATATGTAAGAGCTGAGTAATTACATAAGTTTTATTAGTTCTCCCTGTACTAATACTCATTTTTTTCATTCTCATTCAAGTTTTGTTAGTTCTCATCCAAGTTCTCCCTGTACTAATTCCCATTAA